CCCCAAAACCCCAAAACCCCAAAACCCCAAAATCCTACAAAATTATTGAAATTATACTAAAAACTTAAGATTCAGCTAAGAACGCTGCTTCTGTGATAGTTTAGTAGCCCGCTTCTTGCCATGAGTCTTAGTATCTTCAAGCTCTTGGTGTTGTAAATGCATGACCCAGTCTTTACACTGACAGTTTTGGAGTATAATCTCTTGGGAAAGAGTAGCCTTCAAAGTGCCAAGAGAAGGCCTTTGCCTGATCTTAGGAATCTTTGGTATCTTAGGATTTTTACCTGTGATTTTTGGGTGATTGATATGCTTCTGAAGCTTTTTACTTCTTATTTGATGCTTATACATTTTCATCTCCAGTGAAGTCTGCTTGAAGAATGATTTATCCAGCATAGATTTTGGAATGATTAGGCATAAGTCTTTATCAGTTTGTTTCACTGTAATTTTAGAAATAGAGAATTCATTTTGTATCAGATCTTTAGGAACATTATTAAGAATTTCAGTTGCTGATCGCTTCAAAGACAAATCTACTGTCGGTTCCTCTTCTTTGCAAAGATCACTTGTTGTTGTCTGTTTTGTAGAATCAATATCAATAGTGCTTGCTTTTTCGTTTAAAAACTTGCCACTAGCTCTATCTTCTTGGCTTACTCTCTGTAAAGCATCATCTCCAACACTTTCCCCACTCTCTGACCCTTTATTTTCACAGATAACCTTCTGACCCTCACTCAAAGACATCTCTTCAAACCCATCCAACAATCTCCTCTCAAGTACTAACACCATATCTCAACCCTCTGCATTTTTCTCTATATAATTACCCTCTCCTCTGCACTGCTTCCTCCTTCTACCTCCCCCTTTGCTCTCTTGAACCTGCTTAGTCTTCCTAAAAATATATAAAATCTCTTCAAAATCTCAGTTCAAAATTGTAAAATACCTACCGTAAGCCAGTCCGTGGCCGGAGGCCACGGCTGAGGCTACTGTGAGTGCTTTGCATTTTGGAGAAGCGGGATTTGAAATTTTTTATATGGGTGAGTAAACATAGTTCAATACACTACCAAAGTTTGGGGTTTTGGGGTTTTGGGGTTTTGGGGTTTTGGGG